CCCTTGCTGAGCAGGCTAAGCAGCATGAAGAACTAGTGCAACCCAAGTTAAGTTCAAAGCTATAGTTAAAGATTTAATTGAGTATGTGTAAATGTTGGTGCATTACCTAAAGATAAAGGTCTTAATTCAACACTGTGTTGAAGTTACTCAGAAAAGACTTTAAACAACAGGAGCAAAAAATTGAGCCATCTGACGCCTTTATCTGTAATCATGCAGTTATGCACATGTATCATGGTACCAGCTATAAAACATAGGCCCAGAAAAATACTGTTGTGCTATGTCTATACATTTATTACAGTAGCACTAGCTGATGTACCATGCTTTTCTGCATCAAATCTGCTATAGTCTTCCTGTTTTCAGTGAATCTACAAGGCCACAAAATGACTTAATTGGCAACTATCTACGCAGATGTGGGAAGACTCACCTGCAGGTACACAGCAACACACTCCTACAGCCAGTCAAGGCATCCGAGAAGGGATCTGTTAGATCAGATACTTTTGATAAGTTCTGAGGAATTAATTGTGATTTTGTTCTTGTTAGATGCTCTTGACTGGTATGGAGTTAACATAATCTCAAAGTCTTAAAGTAATGCATTGCTGTAGAGGAAAATATATAATAGTATATATCTGTATTTGCATAATATGTATATTTGTGTAAAAACATGTGTCTAAAATCTCTTGAGTATTTATTTTAATATACTATAGAGGCGAAACTGTTGAGACCTTGAAGGAGACATCTGACCTTCTTTTCTCTCAAAAACCGCAGGGACTATATGTCTTCGTTTCTGTGGATACGTTCTCATTCTCTCACAGTCTCTTTCTCAAACCTAGAAGCATTGTTCAAGTGGGATTTGAAGGTTTTGTATATTTATCCAGAATTTCCAAACATCTGCAGCCTGCTCTGAGGAGCAGTTTCAACTGCACTGCTGGCTGTTTGGCAATCTCAAGCATGCTTGCTGTGCGTATTCAATCAGAGTCTGCAGCGCATGCCTGGAAACTCCATGTTTCCAGTAAACATTGGATGGAGCTGTGTGTGCATGGTATGCTCTAACAGCCTGAAGCACTGGACTCGCTGAACCCATAGTACTTTGTGCATAAACACAAATTCTGGATAGGACTGCCACAACTGTGCCAAAAATCCCAGATCTTTCTTTGAACTAAGTTTTCCAAGGCCTTCAGTTTTCCAAAGACTTAGCTTCTACATCTGTGCTTTGGCCTGAAAGAATATTCTGAAAAAAAATCCACCCACCCCCCCCACCCCCCAAATGCCAAGCATTTGTGTACAGTCTTTCCTAGATACGTGTGTGTGTATGTGTTTGTTATATATATATATATGTGTATACCTGCTTGGGTATAAAATAAACTATCATAGTAAATGCCCCATTTTTAATTGTCTAACTTGTTTGTTTGTTTGTTTGTTTTCAACAGGCAGAAATACTCAATGTGCTCAGTCACAAAAACATCATTCAGTTCTACGGAGCTGTCATTGAACCTCCAAATTATGGCATAGTTACAGGTAAGGATTTTTGTCTGACCTTTGTCTTGATTCTGTAAAACTCCCATGTTACAGGGTATTAGCTTTACCCAATTTCAGTGTTTTGCTAATTGTTCTGGCCCTCTTTGAATGTTAAGAGTGCTCGGCACCACCTGCCTCATTGTAAATGGGAGTGCTGGAGGTAGGAACCAGGCTGGGAGCATGGCTGGTAGCAGCACAGAAGCAGTTGGAGCCTGGAGCGTTCTTAATGCACAAACTCAGCACTCCTTTAAATAGAAGCTTTCACTGTGTTCTCTTACCCTGTTCTGTGAATTGCTTTTCCATTTTAACTGATGTGTGACAGAAGTAGAGGTTTTTATGATATGAAGTTCTGGCAAGTTCTGTGAAAAGGGAAGGCTGAGAGTCTGCTCAGAGCAAAGCTGCAGTGTGAATTCTGCCTGTATTGAAAATAGGAGTATCTGCATTGGGAGCTTCCGAGCTGTGGGAAGAGCTTGATATAGAATCAAGGGTGTATTAGACAGCATAAGATAACTCCCTTAATTCACTGGAACCTAGGTTTCATTCATTCTGGCATTCCTAGAATTATGCAGAGGCTAGTTTTTATGGTTTTGTTGGTGGTTTGTTGTTTTTTTTTTTTCTATCACCACTTTAAGCTTCCTTCCCTTATCTTGGGAGTTGGTCCAGATATAAAATTACATTACAGATAATGTAATTTCTCCCTTTCCTGTATGGGAGAAACTAGGTAAGATAGTAGTAGAAAATAAACCCAAAGGAAAGAAATCTCCAGTCTGCTGAAATGTTTGGAGAGGTAAAAACCATGAAAGCGTGGATTAGGAGGTGTGTTTTAGCATGTCTGTAACATCTCGAAGAGTTTGATGCAAAGAGTAGTTTTTACATGTGGCACAGTCTAATACCAGTTTGAAACACTGCCGTTCAGGTTTTTATTGGTTCTCAGATGGTGGACAGAACCTGTGAAAATTCAGTTATTTCTACCTGTCTCTTAGACGTCCGATTATCACAGTAGATGGCAGTGTAATCCGGTGGGAGCGCATCTGAGATACAGCACTGTTCAGAGCATGGGGAGCTTTACTTACAGGAGTATCAGCCTACTGGAGGTCACAGTGTTGCAACCAGTACTCCAGAGGTGCATGGGGGTGACCACAGTCTACACTGCTCAGCGGATGCACTGGTGATAGCATATAGACAGGAACTTGAATACCTTCTTGAAGCAATAAAAGTAATAGAAAGCTAATAAATCAAGTAATGTAATTTTACTATAATTTATAACATAAGTGTAGTGAGTGTAAAGCAGCAAGCAGAGTGACAAAGGAAATGTGTAATCAACAACTCAGGATGATGTCTGGATCAAAAAGTCCTCAGTTTGATCTCGCAAAAGGTCAGTGTTCGGGGAAGGACATTTGACCTGCTTGCCAGTCACAGGACAAACAGCAGCTGAAGTAGTTCATTATGTCATTGGGAATGGGGACTCTTTAACCATCTGTGAGAAAGAGACTACTCTGCGTAGTCCAACCACTTTGTTACTCAGGGAGCTCTGATTCCACCCTGGCTAAAGATAAAGGTTTTTGTAACAACCTGCATTGGTTCTCCCTGCAACTTCCAAGGAGACTGGAGTCCCTTGGGTTGGAAGGAAAGCAAGCCTCTCTTTCCTCACACCATTTTCAAATGGGAGAATGGCTACTAAGAAAAGAAATTTTAATTGCGCTTGAAATACCTTTTAGAGAGATTTTCACTCTGTGATCTTCTGGATGGCCTTCAGTGTTGTGGACTTAATCCTGTGTTTAGTCAGAAATCCATTTCTTGTGAGGGCAAAGCCCAAACAAGAAGAAATTCTGAGAACCTAATCATTCTGCAGAGTGATGGAGATGAGGGCATTCAGCCAAGCATTGGCATGTACCGAGCATTAACTGCACGTGATGTCTTATGTGGGATTGTAGAGAGTTCTCTGCGAATGACTGCAGAGGTAGCCTAAATACGTTTCCCTGCTGGGATGTATGTCAGTGTAATAACTGATCATCCCACCTGGCGGGCTGCTAATGTGGATCACATCATTCTAGTTGTCACCATCTGTCTCTGTCAACAGTGGTCTCAATGCCTAGCTTTCAGATCTGTTTTTTGACCACAGCTGCCTCCCCCTAAAAGGTTCTCGGAGCTTGCGACCCCTGTCTGCACAGAAATATATGGTGTATCCCACAGCCCATCACAGGGTGGGCCCAATCAGGTATTCAGAGCTTTTCTCTGTAAAGCAAATACCTCTTTTCCATTATTGACAGAAAATTATCCTTGTGATATGATTCCAAGTCCATAAGCTCCTAGTAAAAACCTGTGGCACAATAAATATGTAGAAGAAATACTAAAGGATCGAGCTTTGTTGATTGAAGCTTGCTTGCCTCCATTCACACAGAGTGGCAAAGGGCTCGGGGAGCTGAGTTGTCCCTGACCCTGGTGGATCAAATTATGCATTGTAAAGGCATGCAAAGCATGCAGCCAACCTATTTCTGAAGAATCCATTTATAAGACAGATGATGACATCATGGACAAAAAAAGCTTGTGTTTTAATTGAGGAAATGTGCAGGTCAGCAGCTTACTCCTCTTTCAGTGACATCAGCAGCAATACTTCTGTCTCCTGCAGAGGCTCCTTTCAGCTTGAGGTCCTGCAGTAATGATCCAAAACTAACTTGCCACTTGAGTGTTTACTTTCAAGGGACTTCCTATTTTCTCCTTCTTTCCTTTCATTTAGTGCTGGCATCTTCTCACATGCCCTACCACGTTCTCGGCTGCAGAGTTTCCTTCCCCATGCAGCAATCTCCCAGTGGTTTTGATTTCCTTGATAAGCAGCAATGTTTACTTTTTAGGCATTTAGCCTATCGTGTATCATTCATTGATTAATATTATTAACAGCAATTCAGATACATTTTATGTAGTCTTGGAGGGAATTATTTTGTGACTGCTTTGAAATGGCTGAAATTAAGCATTTTAATTGTATACCAGTTGGTTTGCCACCTTAGGTATGCAGATTTTGGGAGTCTTGTAAGTAGGTTTTAAATTCTCCAGACTGCCTGAGGAGCACACTGAATAGCCTTGGGAGAGAGGGATGAAAGGCTTGAAGTTGCTCCTTGCATCCCTCTGGTCTTTGTGCTACTTGGGCTACACCAGGTGGCATATGCCCACTCTGTCTTGGCAACTTGATAAAAGAAAATGCATCAGCTGCTTCAACTCACAAACCTCTTGCTGTGTTTTTGGTGAAATATGAATGAATACTAAATAAGCATAAAGCTTATTTAATACATACTAAGCAAAGGAGCTACAGCCTTTAGTCTGCTGAACATGACCTGCAGCACATGGAAATCTGGCCCACTTACCTCAGGGTTAGACCTCTAGTTTCTTCCTTCCATTTTTTCATGAACAAATGATTTGATGTGCTACTGTGTTCCTCCATGGGAAATTTTTATTTCCCTTTCTATTTGCAAACCCTTTCTTCCTAACAGAACATTATATATTTGACATCTGGTTTTACTTTTTAAAAAAGAAATAAAATTATTAACCTTTGTTATGGGGCATCATTTATACGCAGTACTGCTCACCAGTGGGGAATATCCTCTGTCTTCAGAAACAATAAGAAGGATCTGATACCACCAAACTCATCTGTTAACTGCTCTTCTGAACAGGAGCGGCAAATTCACTGTTTAAATATGTAAGAATTTCAAGTTATATAAAAGTGGTGCTGTGGAGGTTTCAGTTGTTTCCAGTTTCACACCTAAATGTGTGTAGGTGTAACTAGCTTGTTATTCCTGCTTTCAGCCCCATGAGCTCTGACAGTCGGACTGGATTCCATCTGCCACACTTGCAAACACCAGCAGGCCAAAAAAGCCCTTGTTTGTACCCATATAATCCTGCTGTTGGTTTCTGTAGGTGTAGTTGAGAGAAGTTAACAAACTCTTGTTGATCCTGAACAAGGAGCATCCAGAACCTTTGCCGGAGCTTTCTTGACACCAGACCTTTCTAATGTCTTTTCATTTTAATGCCTGTTGTTATCTATGATTTTACTTTTTTTTTTTTTTTTTTCCCTTAGCAGTAGATTATGTCGCTGTTGGGATAATCAGAATGAACTACCACTCTCCTACTACACTA